CTACGAAGAGGTGTGAGGATGTATAAAAATGGACGCGCAGTGACTCGCTTATCAGGCAGGAAATCAGAAAACAAACTAAACTATCAGCCTCCATGAAACTCCAGAACAGCTGGATGCTAAACGCCACGAGCTGACGCTGTAGTCTAACTGCAGCGTGAACGCCGAGCGCTCAGTCACTGCACAGAAAACAGCTGAAGGAGCTAAAACAGATTGGTTAAAATTTAAAAAAAGCAAAGCACGAGCTGAAAACTACAAGTAGGAAAGGCTGGCGAAAAGTAACAAAAGGCCAGCTAGAGGACAAAGCAGAAAAACACTAACAGTTAAACACAAAAGTTTTAAAAAATATTGCTAGTTTATAAGCTAAATCTATCAAAAAGCTAAATGCATCAAAGGGCTAGCTAACCCTCCTGCTGCCCTTGGGTCAAAATGAACCATGAGTCTTTCAAATTGAGCCAGAAGAGCAGCAGGAGACTAGAAGGTAAAAGTAGCAAAAGATTTTGCTAATAGCTGAAAGTGATACAAGTTTAGCTAAAAGGTGCAAAAGTAGCAGAAAAGTAAGTAAACATCAAAAACATCATAAAAAACAATAAAGCTGAAGCACATTTGAAAGAAATCAGCGTTTTTGAAAGAAGCGAAGAGATGTCAGTGTATTTCAATGTGGGAATATATTTGTAAATAAAGTTAAATATGTTAAAAATGTATCAAAATTACAAAAAAAAAGTAATTACATTTGTTTTTTTTAAATGAGATGCAGGCTTCCGTAAACAAAAAGCTAAATTAGCACAAACTATGCAGATGTTTTCAAGGGGCCGCGGTAGCGCAGTGGTCAGCGTTGTGGCGTCTCATCATCCTGAGACAGCAGGTTTGAGTCCAAGTTTTCGTCTTTTATCGGTGGTTTTGTTCATGTTAACGCAAAAAGTCCTAAACAAACACGCCTTCTTCTTTGTAAATCAGGAAGCCGTTTGTTTTCAGCGCTCAGCAAAAAGAAATGTATTATTATATGAACATCTACTGTGGGATTAGTCCAAATCAAGATGGCCGCCACAGCCAATTAATAGTCATTTTTACAGATACGGAGATAAAATTAAGTGTGGCAGTAGCTGAGAACCATTCCCATCTGAGTGCCAACAAGTGGTGCAAGATATTAGTTTAAACCTGCATGCAACACGGCGGGTGATAAGCATTCCCTCAAAGAATGTTGCTTTAATCATTTGGTGACTGCCAGATGACAAACGGATGATGAGCTTCACTTCACTTTGGTTCCGAGCTCAGGACTTTAATAAACTGCATCTGAGGAAAACTCAAAGCTGCTGTTTTATTTAAAGTTAAACTGCCCTCTTGTGGAGCGACTCCGAGTCGCTGGTGTTGTTTACTGGTTCTTCCACAAAGCATCAGTTTCCACTGTGCCTTTAAAACCAGTGGTGAAGAAAGTACTCAAACACTGTACTTAAGTAAAAGTACAAATAAACAGTCAGTTAAAGTAGAAGTACAACATTTATATTTTACATAAGTAAAAGTAAATAAGTCAGCTTTTAAAAATACTTAAATTATTAAAAATAAAAGTACTTGCTGGATGCAATGATCTACAGTATCATTAAGTGTGCCTACCGTATGTATATTATTTTCTGTAATACATTAATAGTGATGATCCATTTTAATGAACGATGCTGCAGATAATTCATGGTTTTATTGTTTGTGACACAGTTCACACTTGGACTTGTGATTCTGTGCGTCAGAATTTCAGGGAGGACCTGCAGAGTTAAATGTCATTAAGCAAAATAAGAAAGAGGAATGATTTCACCTTTGAATGTTTTTATTTAACACAAAGTAAAACCAATGTGTCATTTTAACTGCAGTAAACACATTTAAGTAAAAGCTGTCTGCCTGAAAAAAGGAGCATCTGATCATTTCAACTCCAGTTTGTCATCAACTCTAGTTAAAATACTGTCCATCAACCTTGTCATGGGTCAATAGTGAACAATATTTTAACTTCCTGACACCATTTTCAAAACTTGGACCTGAGCGTCAAGACATTTGGAGACGTCTTTTGTCTCCTAACATCACGAACTGACACATTTTAATTTTGCAGCAAGAATTTCTTGTTCAAGTTCAGAAGTTGGTTTTCAAATATTTTTTTTTTTGGTCCAGTTTGGCTCTTTTAGGAGAGAGAATCTGTCCTGCTGTTCTGAACAGTCTTTCAATAGTTTTTCAATAATCTTTCAATAAGGCCATGGGTGGCACATGTCTTCTGGCTGACTCTCCACGGTGGAATCCATTTTGGGTGCGTTAGTGGTGCTGTGGGTGCACCCAGCTCAACGACATATATCAATCAACCTTTATTTATACAGGTAAATCCCATTGAGCCTCGAGGACTCTGTATATATACTCTATATATACTACAATATACGTCATTGGCCCAGATCTTCTTGAAGGCAGGTCTAACATTACCTGCCCAATTTGAAGTGATTCAGTCGACCAACTCCCCTCTCACCATTGGTCACTTTCAAACAAATGAACAAATAACAAAACAACATGAATGTAACTTGTAATGCAGTATAGAAATGTAGCGCAATAGAAAAGTACAGATACTTAATGTAAAATGTAGTGGAGTAAAAGTCGAAAGTACCTGCGCAAGTAATGACTTAATCTCTTAATTACCAAGCATAAATGTATTTCAAAACATTTAAATACTTTAAAAAGCAAACAAGTATGAGGTACTGTACAGACGTTATAATTGTTAGAATATTAATTAACATTTCATACATTCATCACTTCATGTCTCATACTTTTAGTTTAAAATATGTGAAACAAACATTTGCTGTGTTGCTTATTTAGCTGTAACAGCCATCTTGAATTGGATTAGCTACAAAATTATTTAGTTGCGAATCAATTTATGACTTTTCCAAAAACATTATCGCTCACCTTTGAAAAGAGACAAAAAAAAAACCACAGTTCCTTCCAGTCTGAACCAGCTGTCCCTACAAGCCAGCAGGAGCTGCTTATTGGAAGCTGCCATGTTGCATTTTTGGAACCAGTCTGTGCACTAGATGTTGAGCTTTAAGCCCCGCCTACTCCTCTGACTTACTCTCAGCTAAACATAGTGGAAAACTAATATACGCGCATAAAGCAGCAGGGTGAGTAAACACCTGAGAAATTATATGAGGTGTGATTTTATTTTATTTTTAACAGGAACTAATTAGTTCGTTTAAATGGAGGGCCGGAACCAGCCGATATGAGCTCCGGCCTCGACTTCCGGTTGGTTATGTGGAGACATCCGGTCCGCAGCTTTGTCCTCCCGGGTCGTTCCTCTCTTCCTCATCATTTGTTTCGTCCTCTGCTGCGCCTCCTTCTCCTCCTGCTTCCTTCTCACTCTCGGACCCGGACTCGTCCTCCAGCTCTCTCGGGTCGATGGTTCTGGGTCTGCCCGCCCGGAGCCTCAGTCCCTCCTCGTACCACTGCCGGTAGGCGCCGATCACCGCGGCCCGGGAGCAGCCCACCAGCCTGGCCGTTTCCGAGACGCTCACCCCCATTTCTCTGGCCATGACCACCTGACCCTTATCGAAGTCGGTCAGTTCTTCACACGGCTCCATTTAAAACTGCTGGACGGCGTTTCCACTTTCTTACGTCCCGGAATATTTATTTGAACAAACGTGACCATCCATCAGCTGCTCTGAAGCAACAAAACAAACCGGCTCTTCTTCTGGTGTTCATTAGCTGCAGCTGGACTCTGTTAAAGGCGCTCCTCCGCCCCCTGCTGGACAACAGTTAGACTGCAAGGAAACAATATTTGATCTCCGGGCTCTGAAATCTATAGAGCCTTTACAGTTATAATAAAATTAAGTTTCATCATCAGGCTGTTGTTTGTTTGTTTCTTTTTTTTTAGGCCAGCATCTTTACTTAAAGCGCTTCATCTGGATTTTCTAAAAGTCAGATCCATGTTGAAAATAACGTGACGTACGTTAGAATTTCATAATTTAATCCCTTCAAACCAATCATCTCCAACAAACTTGTATGATTGCTAACTACTTTTGACTCCAAAATGTAAAGCCACACATTGCAAGGTCATAAAGAAAAGAAAACAAAACTGGTTAAAATAAAAAAAGTATAAACCAATTTTTTTTATTTGCCACCAATTATATGACAAACTACCAGAAACAGCTGTTGACTGAAAATAGGTTGACAATGGAAGAGGTTTGACCAGGTTGATGCTTTGTATTTACATTTAGTTAAGTTTGCAGATGAGGTTTAAATTATAAGTTTAAACAGCTCTGTCTTTATGGAGCTCCACCTCCCTGCTTGATGCTCAGCACTGATCTCACTTTCTTTTTCTTTTTTTAAGTTTAGCAGCATATTTTCTTATATTTCCTGTTAAACGTCTCATACCGACATATTCCTTTACCTGCACAAACTAGCTCTAGTGTAGGTCAGTCAGGCTTCCATGTAGCTTTTATGAATTTCAGCTTTGTTTACATGGAGCGCGTACCCGCACTTCAGGTTAGCTTGTGATTATATCTGTAGAACTACCTGCACTGTTTGATATATTTCAGGATAAACTTAGTTTGATTTTATACTTTACAATAAGTACTTTTAATCAAAGACCTGCATCCATCGATAACTTCCTTTAAAATATTGAAATCTACCAAATGGTTTGAGATATTTTGCTAACAGAGACACAAGTGACCCATCTCACCTGGTGGAAGAAGTTGAACCTTTGACCTTAAGAGTTCTGCTGTTTCCACTTCATATCCTGACAGGATTTATTCCAGATCATTTTAAGAGTCCAAACTACCAAATCTAAAAAAGATTGATCTATTTTCTGTGATTAAAAGTTTTGAATTAAAATCAATAATCAAGAGTCATGGGTGTTTTTTTTTTTTCCTCCCAGTAGGGCTTTCTTTAATAACTGCAAAGTCAGTGGTACCAAATGTAAAATAATGTGAATATTTCTGCATAGATGGGGGGGAAAAAAACACAAGTTAAAAAAATGCAAATTAAAAACAAAAACAGGCATAAATGTTGTTAATTAAACAAAAGAAAAGTCTGGATGAATAAACTACACAAAGTTTGTATTAGTGTGTGATAAAAAGGATGTTAAACATACAGATTTATTTCATTTTTCTCCTCAGCTCGCCGTACAAACAGGAATGTGTCGACTTTACACAAACACACATTTGAAAGTTGTGTACCGTTGGACTCACTCCACTATTTACATCTTGCCTGTGCAAGTAAAGGTACTCAAAACGACTCCGTCCATAACATCTTGTACAAAAATAGCTCTTTTCTATAACGGTTCTGAGTTTACCTTGAAATACTGAAAACCAATCTAAATGCAAATGCATCAAATCCCCAAGATGATGACGAGCGTGGCGTCTCGACTCGACCGCGGAGTGGCTTTTGGCACTTCTTCATACGAACGGGTTAAAAGTCCGACTCGAGGATTGTCTGCTCAGCATCAGCAGCGGCTGTCCAGCGGGTCCAGGGAGAAGATGGTGCCCTCCAGGGTTAGTCCCATTTTGAACCCCTCCTGTTGGACGAAGCAGAGGCCGGTCAGTGAACGTTGACGTGTTCTGACTTTATCGGGAAACAAGCTCCGAGTGGTGTTTGCTTCAACCTCTGATGTTAGGAGGTGAGGAACGGAGCAGAACGTCCGAGTCAGAAACAAGCGTGCAACGTAAAAGTGCATCAAGCTGTCACTGGGCTGCAGCTGTTGGGGGGTCTGGAACCAATCTCAACCACGTTGTTGCACTTTGCTGTTTGTACTTGTGCCACCTTGGCCTCAAGTTTTTGGGGAGTTTGTGTAAATGTGTTCTTTAGTGTGAATCAATATATTTTTTCTGTTTTCTTTCAGTTTAGTGTCCCCAACAGTCACAGACCAGTGAGATCCTATGACCGAGAGCATTTTTTTATTTTTAAGTGGGGTTGGGGGGAGTGTTATGAGCGGTCAGTAGCTTACCTGCAGCAGTCAGCGTGATCTCAGTTTGGAGATGTAACACTAAGCTGCACCTTCCAACTAAGATCAGTCAGGTCCTCTGGACGGTTTCTTTGTGTTGAGACATTTCATCTTTCATCCACAGGACTTCATCAGTCCCAGGAGCCACAACAAACTCAGTCCCACACGCAGCACACTCACAGTGGCCCAGCCAGCTTGATGGTGCTAAGATGGTTTCTGGAGTTCTGGATTATTGAGCATGAACTCTGATGCTTTGAACCACTTTGGTCGTGGCTGCTTCAAAGGAGTCGACGGGGGAGAGGGCGGACTCCAGAAACCATCTTATCACCAGAAAACTGGTTGGCCCACTATGTGAGTGTGCTATTTATGGGAATGAGTTTGTTGTGGCTCCTCGGACTGATGAAGTCCTTTAGATGAAAGACGAAACGTTTCAACACAAAGAAACCGTCCAGAGGACCTGACTTAACTTTGTTGGATTTTTAAAAACTGGATTATTGAGTTTGAACTTTGATGAGCTGCATCTTGTTAGATTTGTCTATATATATATATATTGTAAATTAGGTTAAATGACAACAGATCAGTAAAAAAACAAATAAATAAAAAAAAACTGGGCAGAAGTTCCACCAGATGCTTCTCAAAAACAGTTGGGCAGACTGAATCTCCCATCAATTTCAGTTCATAATCTCATCAACAGATTAGAAGAATAGAAATCTCTGAGCTCAAAGGACGAGGCTGAAACTTAATATTGGATGATCGTGATCTTTGGGCCCTCGGGGGCCACTGCATTAAAGCCAGGTCTGGTTCTGTTCTGGGCTCAGGACCACTTCCACAGATCATGGTCATCCACAAATGCTGCTTAAAGCTCTATCAGACAAAGAAGAAACCAGATGTGAACACCATCCCGAACCACTGCCGTCTTCTCTGGACCAGAGCTCATTTCAAATGGGCTGAGGTGAAGTCCAGAACACGGGTCCAAATCTGAAGTTCTCTTTGGAAACTACGGACGCAACGTCCTCCATTTGAAAGAGTAGAGGGACCATCCAGCCCATCAGCTCACATTCCAAAAGTCTGCCTCTCTGAAGGTATGGGGGTGCATTAGTAACTCTGACATGTGCAGTTTACACATCTGGACAGGATAACTAGACCAATGAGTCATGAGGATCAAAACATAATGTATGTTAAGGTTTTAAAACAATTATGGTCCAATCCAGCAAAGAAGAACCAGGACTGTAGAACAGCTGGAATCCTCCATCAGACCAGAATGAGACAACGCCTCCAACAACTGGTCTCCTCAGGTCCTTCAGAACCTCCAACAACTG